TACATCTTCAATTTCTTTTGGTGTTATTGGTCTGTTCAAGTTTTCTATCTCTTCCCGGTCCAGTTTTTGGAGACTCTCTGTTTCTAGATATTTGTCCATTTCGCTTAGATTGTCGAATTTGTCGCCGTATAATTGTTCATAATATCTTTTAACGATCCTTTGTATTTCCATGGTGTCCGTTATTATTTCTCCTCTTTCACTTCTGATTTTGTGTACTTGGGTTCTCTCTCTTTGTTTCTTGGTAAGTATAGCTAAGGGATCATCAATCTTGTTTATCTTTTCAAAGAACCAGCTCTTTGTTTCATTGATCCTTTGAATTGTTTTTTGGTCTCCATGTCATTTATTTCTGCTCTGATCTTTACTATTTCCTTTCTTGTATTTGCTCTGGGATTTTCATTCTGTTTTCTTTCTAGTTCTTTAAGTTGTGAGGTTAGATAGTCTATTACAGATTTTTGTTGCTTCTTGACGTAGGCCTGTAGTGCTGTGACCTTCCCTCTCAGAACTGCTTTTGGTGCATCCCATAGATTTTGTGTTGTGTGTTCATTTACATTGGTTTCCAGAAAGTTTTTAATTTCTTCCTTGATCTCCATGTTAACCCAGTCATTGTTCAATAACATGCTATTTAGCCTCCATATGTTCAAATGTCTTTGCATGTTCTTGTTGCAATTGATTTCTAGTTGCATGCCATTGTGATCTGAGAAGATGCTTGATATGATTTTAATCTTTTTGAACTTGTAGAGACTTAGTTTGTGCCCTAACATGTGGTCCTTATTTGAAAATGTCCCATGTGCACTTGAGAAGAATGTGAATTCTGTAGTTTTGGGGTATAATTCTCTGTAAATATCTATAAAATCCATTTGATCTAGCTCTTCATTTAGAATCTGTGTTTCCTTGTTAATTTTTGTCTAAAGATCTATCCAGTGATGTCAGTGGGTATTGAAGTCTCCTTCTGTGATTTTATTGCTGTTAATTTCTCCTTTGAAGTCCTTCAAAAGATTTATAATATATCTTGGTGCTCCTAAATTGGATGCATATATGTTTACCAAGGTTATATTTTCCTGTTGGATAGATTCTTTCAATATTATGTAGTGCCCTTATTTGTCTCTAGTTATGGCCTTTATTTTGAAATCTATTTTATCAGCTATAAGTATTGCTACTTCAGTCTTTTTTTTTGCTTCCAGTTTGCTTGAAAGATTTTTTTCTATCACTTCACTTTCAACCTATGTGAGTCTATTGTTGTGACGTGGGTTTCTTGTATGCAACCTATATGTGTCATGCTTTCTTATCCGGTCAGCTACTCTGTCTTTTTATCGGAGCATTCAAACCATTTACATTTAAGGTGATTATTGATATGTACTTATTTATTGCCATTTTTGTTTAGTGTGGTTCTATTTTTCTTCCTATTTATTCTACTAATTACAGCAGTTCTTTCAGCATATCTTGCAGTGCTGGTTTGGTGTTAATATATTCCCTTAGCATTTTTTTTTTTTTTTTAAATCTGGAAAGCCCTTTATTTGACCTTCTATCTTGAATGATAGCCTTGCTGGGTAGAGTAGTCTTGGATTCAGATCCTTGTTTTTCATGACCTTGATTACTTCATGCCACTTCCTTCTGGCTTGTAGTGTTTCTGTTGAGAAGTCAGCTGAGAGCTTTATGGGGTTTCCTTTGTAGGTAATCTGTTACTTATCTCTTGCTGCCTTTAGGATTCTCTCTTTGTCTTTAATTTTTGGCATTTTGATTACTATGTGTCTTGGTGTGTGTCTGTTTGGGTTCTTCTTACTTGGGGCTTTCTGTGCTTCTTAAATTTGAATGCCTTATTCCTTCTCTAATCCTTGCCCATTTTCTTTCTCTTCTGGGACTCCTATGATGCAAATGTTATTACGTTTCCAGTTGTCCCACAGTTCTCTTAAGCTGTCTTCCTGTTTTTTAATTGTTGTTTTCCTTTTGGTTTTTTGATTGGTTGATTTTTTCTACCCTGTCTTTTAATTCAGTGATCCGGTCCTCAGCTTCTTCTACTCTGCTGGTTAGCCTTTCCAATGAGTTCTTAATTTCTGCTATGTCATTCTTCATTTCCACTTGGTTGGTTTTCAATGTTTCTATATCTTTACTCATGGTACTAATGTCCTTACTCCTGCTATTGAGCTTCCTCAAGATCATGGCTCTGAACTCTACCTCTGATAATGTCCTTTGCTGCATTTCATTTTTCTCATCTTTGATAGAGTTCTCTTGTTCTTTTATTTGGGATTTTTGTCTTTGTTCACCATTTTGACTATCTCAGTGGGTGTTGGAGCCTGCCTAATTTTTCCTGTGGGTGTTGGTGTTCTGCTCTTTTTGGCTTCCTGGGTTTTGATGAACCTGGGTGGGCCCATGTTAAACACCACAGTCAAGTGTTACTTTCCTGGGTAGATTTGCCAAGCCCAGGAAAGGTTCATTTATCCTCTAGCGTTTTCCTGGTGGCTAGGAGTCTCAGTTACTCAATGCCTTAAAATGTAGCCCTGGTGTTCTGAATAAGAGGATATTCAGAGGGTAGGATAGATGCTGGTTATTAATGAGCTTCAATTTGTAGTTCTTTGCCACACCTGGGAAAGGCTCAATCTCTGGGGTTGGGGGGTGGGGTGGCACTGCTATTCTTTACAGCTCTTGGAAGGAGCACACTGGCCACCATCCTTTGTGGCCGCAACTCAGCAATATCTGAGTGCCCCCCAAATCCCAGGTGTCCCCACAGAGTTCCAGCCCAGTCTGGCCTTCCTCTGCCGGAGCGCCCAGGTGAGTGGGTGTGGCTATTTTAGTGCTCTGTTCTGGCTGTCTGCACTGTGGAGCGGGTTTGGTCTTTATTCCCCAAGGGTGCTGCTCACAGCTAAGACTGCAGCTGTCCTTTGGCTCCTAGCCCACGACCCTCTTGTACCTCCACAGATTCTACCAGTTTACCTGGCTATATAGTCCTTTCCTGCTGCTTTTTTGTTGCCTTTTTCTGAAGATTTGTCTTTATTTTAGTTGGAATTCTCATTTGGTCTTGGGAGATTGCGTAGCTTCTATTACTTCTGCCTCCATTTTTCACATCCTCTATGCCTATGTTATGGGCTGCTGGGTCACACAGGCCTCTCTGGTGCTTCATCACCCCTCAGGTTCCATGGGTAACTGGATCGCACAGTCCCTGCTGGGTAGCACAGGCCTCTCTGGTGTCCTTGCACCCTGCAGGTCTCGCACGCAGGCAGCTGGATCGCACCAGTCTTTTTCAGGCTCAGGCTTCCCACTGCTTTTGTGAGCTACTGGACTGCACAGGCCTCTGTGGAGCCCCAGGTCCTGCCGCTGGGGGTTGGGGAGTGCTGCTGTCCCGTGGGTCTCAACTCTTGCTCAGCTTTTGTTGTAGTTTTTGGGGATGGGTCTCAGCTGCTGGTCTGTGCTTCTGTTGCCTGAGCATGGATGTCTGCTCCCCATCCTCTGTTGCTGGGGGTACATCTCGACTCTGATTGGGCTGCTACGATGAGGGATGGTGCTGGGCTCTGGGCTGTCTGCGACTTCCCGGACTGGCACCTTGAGAGCTTCACTACTGTGAACTGGTCTCTGTTGACACAGAGTGTCCACTGGTCTAATGGTGCCAATTGTGCTGGTGGGCTCAGGTTGCTGGGCCCTAACCGCTCCCACTGCCTCCTCCCAGGGAAGACCCAGGATCTTCCAAAATTGTGGGACCTCCCCATGGCGCAGGGAGAAGGTCACTGAAGGGTCACTTACCGTGGTACCCAGCTGCTCCCATCCACAGCACAGGAACCTTCTGCTCAGCATCTCTTAACTGCTCGTGTTTGGTCATCCACCTTCATGTCCACTCACACTCTCTCACACACTCGCTTACTCTCTCACACACTCATTCTCCCTCCCGTCCTGGCTGCCTCCATCTTCCCCCCATTTCTTTTTTCTAAATCTTCACCCAAAGATATGTTGTTATTGATTTTAGAGACAGAGGAAAGAAGAGGGAGAGAAAGAAGGAGAGAGAGAGAAACATTAATGAGAGAGAGAAACACTGATTGGCTGCCTCACATATGCATCTGGATCAGGAATAGAACCTACAACCTGGATATGTGCCCTGAATGGGAATTGAACCGATGACCCTTCAGTGCACAAGATGATGCTTTAACCAACTGAGACAAGAATACACATTATACTAAAGAATATAGGACCTAAATAAGTCATGAAAACAAACCTATAAAGATTTAAACAATGTATTTCTTCTTTAAACTTGATACTTCTGGTATTTTTGCAGTGATTTCTAAGATGAGAAAATATATACTAGAAGCCCTAAGACATGCCAATATCCTTTTCTTGGCTTCAAAAGATATTGTTCTTTTGCATCCTTGCTCCCCTGTTCCCCTACACCGTGTCCTGGTCCCTTGGGAGAAACACCAGACTTACTCCTGGAACTTTATTCTCCTCCCCTCAGTCCCTGTATTCTTGGGGATAATGTCCCTCCATTCTGACAAGGCCAAAGGACAGAGGCCTCCCGCAGTGTCGTAGGACTATCTCAGTACTCACAAACATTGCTAGGGTAGATTCCAAGGTCAGGGGGATATTGTCACCCCATGCCCACCTCTGAAGAGAATACCATCACCCCATGTGACTAGCTCTCAGGGAACACAGTGAACCACATTGTCCAGATTTGCAGGAGAACACCATCACCCTATATCCTCAGCTCTGTAGGGAATACCGTCACTTCATGTGTCCAGCTCTGCGGGGGACAACAAAACTTCATGTGCCCAGTTTTGCAGGAAATACTGTCGTCTATGTTCCCAGATCTGCAGGAGACATTGTCATCCCATGTGTCCATGTGCCCACATGTGAATACCATTATCTTGTACCCAGTTCTGCAGGGGACAAAATCACTTTATGAGCCCAGGTCTGCAGGGTGCATCATTAACCCATGTGCCCAGCTCTATGGAGGATGCTATCACCACACACCCAGGTCTGCAGAAGATCCTGTCACCCCATGCCCTTGTCCTCATGCTCACCTTGTCTCAATCTACTTTCTCCACATCCACCAGGATCTTCACAAACTCAGAAATGGTGAGGGCTGGGTGGGTATTGTTTAGTTGAATGGCAACCTAAAGTTTGTACAGGGTGATACCTTCAATTGCCTTGCATCCAGGAGTGGGCCTACATGGTTGGTATGTGCAGGCCAGAGGTCCTCAGTGTCCATCCCTGAGGAGTCTACAGGGCTGACAGCAGGGAGAAGACAGGACCAGAGAGGTACTAGGGTCAGCTTGAAAACTGGTCAAAGAGCAGGAGCAGTACCCAAGGGGCACCTGAAGTAGGTGTCCAGGAGTTCCAGGACTCCCAATACCCACTGCTCAAGGCCCTCTCAACTAAGATATGTTGGATTTATTTAAAATAATTGAACGGATACTGTCAAACACGTCTGGCTTTGCCCATGGGAGCCATTTACAGTGTCCTTACTGCCTTGACTCCTGGCAAGGCACAGTGTGGCCCTGGTTGTGGAAGAAGGGGGACTACCCCCACCCATGATGATGAGGAGACCAAGGTGAGAGGATGCTGCTATCCCACACACGCCCCAGCCTTGAGGAAGAAACCAAGCCTGAGAGCATCCTGTCTTTCCCCACTGAGCTCAATCCCAAGTCAACAAACTAACCTTGTCTGGTAATATTTCAAAACAGGTTTTCACTGGGTCCTGGCAGCCAAACTTGGAGGACTTAAAGTGGCGAATAATGTCCTGTAGGGTGGCAACCACCACAATGTACTCCTACTTCAAGCAGAGCTCCTTCCCCTCAAAGAACTATAGAACAGATCTGGAACCAACTCAGCCACTGAGGCTGCTACAGGCACTCAGGGCCCCCCCCAAGGACCCAGGATAGGGTACTAGGCTGAAATGGGGGGGGGAGTTCTTCCCCAGGGACTACAGAGATGTGTGTGGATGAAAAGAAGGAGAGCACTTGAGTGCCAGCATGGTGCTGATGCCCTGATCCTCACAATCCTGGGGCCCAGATGTCAGTTGACCTGAAGCTCAAGGGCACACGCAGAAGGTTGCAAGTGGCCTAACCTGCATGTGACCTTCAGACAAGGAAGAAGCACAAGAGCAGCCAGCAAAGGATCATACTGTCTGTGTAAGACACCAGGCAAGGAGGTCTAGTCCCTTAACTATCAGGCTGACTGCCAGGACCACCAGGGCTGATCAGAAATGCAACTTCCAAAATCCATTTTAAAAATGCCTGGTGCCTGAAGCTTGAGAATCTGCTCAAAATCTCAAGAAGGGGAAGGAGAGTGGGGGATGGAGGCATTTTAAAGTGAGCATTTCAGCACCAATGGCCTTTGCTACTATGTGTATATTATTTTTTTGATAAAATAGAAAAACACATGACCCATTAAGATAGGCAAATTTCAAGGGTACTTTTCTGGCAGCAACAACAAAAATGCCACCATACAATGAATTTAATGGCAGTAGAGAATGTGGCTTTGACCTTTATATTTAGTAGGGGATAGGCGCTGGCCAAGAGCTTTTTAAACCATGATTGTTGTGTGTCTCAAGGTGTCACTGCAAAATAGGGACTGCTTTCCTCACTTGACAAATGGGTCATCTATCTCTTGGGAAAGTGGCATCATAAAATCAGAAACTGCCCTGGCCAGTGTTTCTCAGTGGTTAGCGAATTAGTCCATGTACTGGAGGGTTGTGGGTTCAATTCCCAGTCAAGGGCACATACCTGGGTTGCAGATTCAATCCCTGACCCTGGTCAGGGCATGTGCAGGCGGCAACAAATAGATCTCTCTCTGACATTGATGTTTCTCTCTCTCTTTCTCTCTCTGTGTCCCTTTCACTACTTCTGTTTCTGACCTCCATTTCCACATCTGTAGTGAGGAACCTCTTGTTGTATGCCTTAATATCTAACTCTAAGTGAAACCAAACCAGCCTGCACACTCTGCTCCCAACAGAAAATCCAAGACCTGCTCTCCACCTACAGAGGTTGCTATACCCCTCCCAATTCTCATCTGAAATATTTGCTCTTGGGAAGCACAGGAAGATGTGTATAAGCCTCAAGGTCTCTTCCAGCCCTCAGAACCTCCAAAGGGGCTTCTCACACTCAGGCATGCTTTTGGTGGCATAAACACGTGCAACTTTGTGGCTTTACAAAATGAAATCAGCTCCTGCATCTACAAAGGACTATGTAAGGGTACCACCAGGTTAAAGCCCAGTGTCATCTTTTCTTTTCAGTCTCCTCTTAACCTTTACCCTGCCTGCTGCTTCCCTATCTCCATGGCCTTGTCCAAGCAAGTGACAAGTCTGGCAAAACATCTCCAACTCCCTTCCTCTCTCCATGACTAGCCCTCTGGAATGAGATCCTTATCACATTCAGCCACAGCTGCCCCAGCAGTCTCTGGGCCTCTTTATATACAATGATATGTTCATCTTCTACACACATTTAGAAAAAGCAAATCCCCTGCTCTGTTTTTTCAAATGAAATACTATTTAATCTGGCTTTTTAGGCCTCCAGCCAGCTCTAGCCTCATGGATGCCATTTAAAACTCATGTTGCAGAAAATCTGGATGGCTCTTTTGCATGCCTCCGATTTCCCGGCTCACCCTGTTTTTGCTCATCCTATCCACATCACTAGACAACTGTGTCTTGCTCATAGTAACTACCCACTCTCATGTGGTTTCTCCTCCACCCTCTCCACCCCATCAAAGCACTAAGATATGTGCTCTCTGTCATCTCTGAGCCCAAACTGGACTCTCCGCAAATGCACCCTGCTATGGCTGGCACCACTATCTACCAAGCACTCCATGCTTTTGCCCTGGTCCAGCCATCAGGTACCAGCTAGGAAAGATGGCCTGTGCTCTGTTCCAGCACATTCACCCAGGCTTCTCTACACATATGGAGCTCTGAAGAGGTTCAGAGTAAATGGTGTGTTGCATCTGGGGTGCTATTGAGAGCCACGGGTAATGCCTAGAACCAGGAGCATGTGACAGAGAGCATATTGAGCACCTGCTGGGGAGCTGTTCACCTTCCCCAGGGGATCAATGCCCTTGTCCCTGTCACAACACTTGTCCTGCTTGCCATTAAACAATTGTTGGTCTTTACCCCAACACACAGCTCCTGGCAAACTACAAAGTGTGGCTTCATGTTTAGCATTTTCCACTGGATAGTTTTTGACAAAATGTAAAAAATCAAATGTATGAGAAGAAAACCTCCCAGGTTTCTACCTTGAGTTAGGTCTTCTAGGAAAGCTTATGGTGGCTCATAGAAGTGCACACCCCCACTCCAAAAAGCAAGCCAATTCAACAATGAAACCCAAGTGGTTACTGCACTCATTCTGTGCTTCCTGAGAAACACTGGGGTAGGAACTTGAGTGTCCATCCACCTCACCTCCTTGTGGGAATGCCTCACTCTCCTATAGAGGTGCACAGAACACATGTATTCTGGCCTTCTCCCAGGGGTTGCCATAGCGCAGCCAGTCATCTGCCTCCTCTACCTGGAAAGCAACCAGCAGCAAATTGAGTTCACAGAGAGGAGTAAGTCCTTGGTATTAGGCTGACCATGTCCTTGGTCAGCACTAAACATACTGCTAAGATGACTCTGGCCCAGGACTGAAACAAACTACAGCCTATTTACAATAAAAAGATTTCTAATTTTAGTCAAGGCCACATATTTAAAAATTAACATTTTGGACTATTAAGAAAATAAAATTCAGAAAAAGGCATCAAAGTAAAAAGACATTAACTAATTACCTGAATTCAGCAATAAAAAGAGGTCCTGATGCACGATACAACATGAATAAACTTTGAAAACATTATGTTGAGTCAAAGAAACTGACATATTGTATGATTCCATGCATATGAAATGTCTAGAATAGCCAAATCCACAGAGACAGAAAGTAGATGAATAATTGGTAGGCACTGGGGAGTGACTGAAAATGGGTATTGGGTTTTTTTTCGAAGTGATGAAAATGTTCTGGAAATACAGTGGTGATGGTTGCCCAACTTTGTGAATATATTAAAAACTTGATATCTCAATAGCTGTTATTTAAAAATAAAAAAATGAATCACTGAAAGCCCACTGCTTTGAAAATGACACCACAACCAGTGTGTGTCAGGCCAAGCTGCTGTCCTGGGAGTACTTGTAGTGGGCAGGCCAGATACTCCACTGAAAGACACCTTCGTTCCTGCTTATTTTCCAGAAACTGTACCCAATGGCAGCCAAAATCAGTAAATGTGCAAAAACCACTCCCACAAATAATTAAAAGTAGTGTCATAGACTCCGACTTTTGACTGTTTGGTGGGGTTGCTTTGCCCACCACCCTGTGGAATTTATTCTGCTTTCAAGCAATGGGATAAATTCACTTGGTAGAAAGTAAATGAAGAATCATAAATATAAATTAAATAAAATTTATTTTAAAAACAATTTTTATGAATAGGTTTATTTTATTTATTTTTTATTGATTGTTATTGGGGTGACATTGGTTAATAAAATTATATAGGTTTCAAGTATACAGTTCTATAATATATCATCTGTATATTGTATTGTGTGTTTACCACCCCAAAATTAACTAAAATTTAAATTTACTGCACTCATTCTGTGCTTCCTGAGAAACACTGGGGTAGGAACTTGAGTGTCTATCCACCTCACCTCCTTGTGGGAATGCCCCACTCTCCTATAGAGGTGCACAGAACACATGTATTCTGGCCTTCTCCCAAGTTTTTTTCCTTCAAATTGAAAAAAACAACCCTTACTTTGAGGTTTGATTTTTTAATGGTCCTTACACAGAAGTAAAAAGTCGCTAAGAGAGCATTTGGGTTGTGATTTTAGGAACGTGACATGGATGAGATCACTGCTCCAATATGTACCTCTCTATAGCACTCCTGGCAAGATGCTCCTGCCTGCGGGGACAGATATTCATAAAAGGACCAGTCCTCCTTTTTGATCTCCTTGTAGCATGTCCCTGTACATTAGTGATATTCTCCAACACCAGACCTGGTCATCCCCCACAGAGTAGTAGTCTGTAGAAGCAACACCTTCCCGAATACAACACGCATTGGAGTTTCTCCTCTGAAGTCCTCCTACTTGACAGGCAGGCTGGTCTGTGGCCTCTGTTGGCCACCATGCTTCTGTGTGAGCACTGTTCACATTTAATTCTGCTACAGCTAACCCCTAAGGGGTTGGTTCCCATGAAAACAAGGTGAGAGGAGGGCGACTTTACCACTCATCTATCATCCTAGGACTATCTTTAAATTGTTATGCAAAATGGCAAGATATATAGAAACAAGATACCAGAAGAAAGAAATGTCTGTGGTCATACAAACATACACCACTAAAAACCATTCCTGCTTACAACCATAACACCAAATAGGTAAGAGGTTCTGTCTTATAAACACACACATTATGTTAACTGGAAAGGGATGGGTCAAAGAACACATGTGTAAATTGGTGCAGCCACTGTGGAAAACAGTATAGAAGTTTCTCAAAAAATTAAAAATAGAACTAACATATGACCCAGTAATTCCACTTCTGAGTATCCAAAGAAAATAAAAACACCGATTAAAAAAGATATGCATATCCCTATGTTCACTGCAGCATTATTCACAATAGCCAAGATATGGAAATAATATAGATATCCAAAGATAGATAAATAGATAAAGAAGATGATATAGTCATAGAATATTACTCAGTAATAATACAGAATGAGATCTTGGCATTTACAACAACATGGATCGACCTAAAGAGTATTATGTTAAGTGAACAAGTTAGACAAAGATAAATACATGATTTAATTTATATGTTGAATTTAAAAATCAAATATAATAGAAATGAACTCTTACATATAGAAAACAAATTGATGGTTACTAGAGGGGAAGAAGTGGGGGGGGCTGGGTGGAAAAGGAAAAGGAAAATAAAGGTCATTTTATAATCTCAAGTTATAATATAAATAAGTCATGGGGATGTAATATATGGCACACAGAATATAGTCAATAATATTATAATTATTTTGCATAGTAAGATAATTACTAGACTTATAATGGTGATCAGATTGTAAGGTATATAAATGTTGAATCACTGTTGTACACCTGAAACTAATACTGTATCTTAACAATATAGAACAAGAAAAAACAAAAAACTGAAAAATAGAAAAAAAAAATCTTTGACCATTTATTAAAAACAAAACAAAACACAATACATGTGCAAGGGTTGGCGACATCTGACAAACACAGACATAAACTGTGAGTGAAATTATCCAAAAGGTACCAGGAGGAAAGCTGCATTTCTTTTAAGGTTGGATGGAGTATTTCTATAAATTAAGCAATAGGTACAGATCTGTTTTAAGTTTTCTTTTAATTTTAGCCATAATTTTCTTTGCCAATATTTTATTATGAGCATTTTCAAACTTGCAGAAATGTTAAAAGAATTGGCAGTGAACACCCCATACCCGCCACCTAAGTTCTATAATTGTTAACATTATACTTGATTGATCACAAATCCATTCATTGATCCATTAATTTTTGGATGCAATTCAAAGTAAGTGGCAGACATCTATACACTCTTCCCCTGAACACTTCAGCATGCACATCATTAAGTACAGTTCATTATATATTTATTTTTTAGGTTAATATAAATATGGTGAAATGTATTAATTCTGTAGATACCATTGATGACTTCTGACAATTGCATACCTATGTGACTCAAACCCCATCAATATATAGGGCATTTCTATCACCCCAGTCATCAACTATTTTATTGAGACTATACTGTTTTCCAGTTACAAAACTTCCAATCCCAACCACAGCCTGGCTTTATATGTGACTTTTTAGTCCAAAATTATACTAAAATACTATTTTCCACCCAAATGGAATAATTATGCCCTCCATTTGAAAATGCCGAATGAGAGGAAACAACCACCTTGCCTAGTGGAGGGCAGTGAGACTGCATTTTAGGATTATGCTCTCCACTAATGTGGTCCTAACCACTTCACTTAGCTGTAGTTTGATGCTCTAAAATTGAGGTTCACCCTTTCTAAGAGCCACTTTCCTTTGCAGGGTCTGGCCTTTTACCCCACATGATGCGGTTCTTTCACTGCTGACAGGGAGATAAGGACAAAAGTGAAAATAAAACCAACTACCAACTGTTTTTTAACTACTATAGGTCAATTGTCCCTCTGAGGGTGAACCAGGGAGGAGGCCATTTTCACTTTGCACTGAGATACAACAGGAAACCAGCATGCAGCCTGTGGTATTCTCACCACCACCACCTAACCTGATGTCTCCTATAAGGTCCAACAGGCTCTGGGCCCCACCCCACCAAACTTACAATGAGCTCACACAGGAGACCAGCCCCTGCTAACCCATATGGAACTATGAAGAAAAAACGAGCTCATAGGATTGATCCTGACCTGCCTGACCTCTGCATGTTTAGGATTGGCATGTAGTCTTACCATGAAGGAGTTTAAAACATTAAAAGCTGACTGAAAGCGCACCTGTTTATTTTTTTGTGTGAATGACAGCTGGAAATTAGTGAAGAAACCAAGTCTCACCCACTTGCCAGCCACTGTCAATCTTCTGTTTAAAAACCCCAAACTCGTGGTGGATTCCATAGCCATATGCTGCCAGACTCAATGTGGCCATCAAGTCAAGGAAGCAGGCTGAAAATTTCAAAAACAAAGAACTTCTTCTGATCAAAAACAATCAACATGTTCAAGGCCCACTAGAAGCAAGGCCCAGACACCTAAGTTAAGCAGGCACCGGGATGCCAGACTCCAAGGTGTCAGTGATTCAGTGGTGACCACAGTCAGCCTCAGGTATCATGAAAAAGAAAACTGAAATACCCCCTCACTCCCTTTGGCTTGAGAGCCTGGGGCCATGCCAAGATGATACCAATGTGGGAAAGATTTACAGGGTGTGGGAAGATGGGGAAGGGAGAGAGAAACTACAGCCACACTTGATGCATCTCTAAATACTTCAGCACCATTACCAACTATCTCCTAGAGAGTCTCACTCGGACGGACACCTCCGCATCCCCTGCACAGTCAACCTCGAATCCAAGCTGTCTGTATAGTAGGGGAACATCTACACACTAGTGGAGAATGCATAGAAATGGGGACTGGGAATGTACATTTCACTGTCCTCAATGCCAAATACCCAAGTGCTAAAGTGCACGCAGGGTGCCCAGGAGTGGTTGGAGCAGCACGTCACCAAATTGACCCCTTGTTCTGATCAAAATGTGTTGGGAAAAAGAAAGCATGTTTGAAATAAAGATCCAGTAGCCTTATTAACCTTCTTGATTAAAAAAAAAGAAAGAAAAGAAAAAAAACTACACAAAACACCAAGCAAATAAAAAACATGCCTAATTCATCAAACATGCACAGACCCTGGGATGTCAGGCCCTTTACTGAAGGAGAGAAAGAGGGAAGATCTGGGCTTTTATTTTGAGGAAATCATTTTCACAGGAGGGACAGAACACCTATCAAGCTATAGTGGGCTAGGCCTGCCCAAGTCTATATAGGTGACATGAGTTTGTGGAACCAGAGGGGCCCAAAGGAGGTACTATCACACCAGCCCACAGGAAAGGCCAGTGGCACCACAGAAGTGTCAGGACAGGTAGTTAACATGAATCTGACTGGGAAAGCCCTGAAAATGCCCAGAATGTAAGTGGATTGCAAAGAGCAGGGAATGTGACCACGTGGCTGATGGTCCTCAGCCTTGGGATAAGAGGGGAGGTTAGGCAAGCACTGCAGTAAAGGACACCAAACGGCCTGGAGCTTCCCTTGAGCTTGGGAAATAGGTTCGGTTTTTACTGTGATCAACAGAATGCCATCAGGGTGCAGGGGACTGGAGTGGACTTAAACCCTCAGGCTTGAAGACACTGGGGTTCCCAGTGGGGCTGCAGGGGGAAGATCTGACTTATTGTCTGGTATGGTCTCACCTTCATACACTAAAACAGAGCCCTGCCCTGGACAACAGGCAGCACAGGTCACACATGGGCTTTTCACACTAAAGAGTGGAGGTGGGCAGGCCTTGCCAATTGATTCTTCTTCTGTTTTTAAATCCTCACTGGAGGATAATTTTTCCATTGATTTTTTTAGAGAGAGTGGTAGAAAGGAAGGGAAGGGGAAAGAGAGAGAGAGAAACATCAATGTGAAAGAGACACACTGGTTGTCTCCCGCAGGCACCTGGACTGGGGCCAGGGAATGAACCTGAAACCCAGGTATGTGCCACTGATCGGGAATTGAACTTGCAACCCTTTGGTCTACAGGTCAATGCTCTAACTGCTGAGCCAAACAGACCAGGGCTTTTTTTTTTTTAAATACTCATTTAAAGAGAAGCTTTTTGTTGATTTTGAGAGAGAGAAACATCGATCAGCTGCCTCCCATAAGTGCCTCACCCTGGCAGGATATTGAACCCACAACCTAGGTATGTGCCCTGACCAGAAATCAAACTCACAATTCTTTGGTGTATGAGATGACACTCTAACCAACTAATTCACCTGGCCAGGGTGTCTACGGTTTCTTTATATGGATCTACATGATGTTTTGTTTGAGATAAACATGTTGCATTTATAATTTGTGAAGAATTTACTTTAAAATTTAAAAATACAAACACGCACACTCACACCCCTCTCCCCCATAAAGTTTAGGGCATTTGCTCCCTTTACAAAATGACAACTTCCGAAAGGAGCCATGACACCAAGTGGCAGGGGCCTGAGCCCACCTCCCCTCGCCCCCTCAACACAAGAGCACCACAAAACCTAATTCATTTTTGCCCTAAAGACGTTGTGCTCAGGCACTTTGATGTGCTCAGTAAAATCAAATCTCACTGCTATTTCCACTTCCATGTTCTTAACCCAGCTCCCTCTCCCCCAAAACACTGGCAAAAAATAATTAAAACCGAAAAAAAAAACAACAACCAAAAAACCCTGAGTATGCTCTCAAATAGAATTTACAAAGGGAGCAACATCCTTTAAAGGAACAGCTCTGTAAGCTATGTGTACATGTGTGTGCTTCTATTTATCTGTCTTTCTCCTAATTACTGGTTTTTGGGTCGTGGAGTGCGATTGATATATTGGAATCTCCTCCCAACACCAGTCACCAAACACTGGCAAGCCTGGTCTTGATGGTCTTTATGAAGTACTTCTTGTGTGAAAGTGACATACATCTTGCATTTTTTCCTTGCCAGAGGCAAAGATTTTGACTTGGAGAACACACTCTCCTATCCACTCTGGGGGACCAATTTACCCTGACAAAACAGTATCAGGAGCATGGCTGACCTTGGCCTTACCACTGACAAGGCACCATGTTAGGAAAATCGTGTCCTAGACAGGTGCCTGGGGTTACCTGCCAGCCTCCCCAGGCCTCTATTCCCCAGACCAGTGTCCTCTTCTATTTCCTCCAGTTCTCCCAAGTCCAACCCCAAAGGTAAATAAAAACAGAGATAATATGTTAATATTACTTAATATTTTTATGCAAGCACCAAGTGGAAAGAAAAATTTTTTATTTTATTTTATTTTTGTTACAGATGTTTCTCCTTTTTTTCCCCACTGACACCCTCCTCCCCATCTCCCCTACCCCATCCCCAGCTTTGTTGTCCATGTCCATTGTTCATGCATACATGCATACATGCATACATGCAAGTTCTGTGGTTTATCTCTCCCCCTTCCACCCCTCTTCTGGGGATCATCAGTCTGTACCCCACTTCCACATCTCTGGGACTACCCCATTTTCAGACTGTTTTATTCATTGTATTCCACAAATAAGTGAGATCATGTGGTATTTGTCTTTTTCTGCTTGGCTTATTTCGCTTAGGATAATACTTTCCAGGTCCCTCCATGTAGTCTCAAAGGATAAGAGATCTTTCTTTCTTACAGCTGAATAGTACTCCATTGTGTATATGTACCACAGCTTTTTTTTTTTTTTTTTTTCCTCCTCGAATTGTAAAGAAGTACTTTATTACACCGGCAGGCTGAAGGGGGGCTCTCCCTAAATTGACACCCAAGCCTTCTTTGTTGCCCACTTATATAGACATAAACTACAGAGAAAGAGACTACATTCTTGGTGCTGCTTTTGGCACAGTTAAGCGGGGGGAACTGATAGAAAGGGGGGTAAGAGCAGCTGTTAGAGGTTAGGGCAACCATTAATCTCTTTTTTCTCAAGGTTCCTCTGAGTTTCCCAAGGCCATCATTAACTCTTTATCTTTATAGTTTTCTTTAGGTTTATCACGGCCCTTATGTTTACAAAAAAGAATCTGCCAGGGTATGTATGTGCAGTAACTGAGGGTCAGAATGGAGTTAGTACATTCCCACTGGTTTTATGTACAAGTCAAATTATTGCCTTTTTTTTTTTTATTAAGGATATTAACTCTTTCCCTGTAGTATTCCCAAGTTATTGGCATAGAAACAGTAAGTTTTGACTAGTACCACACAGTCCTCTCTACTTGAGGAAAAAGGAGATGTAAACCTTGTCTCTTTTGTATTGCTGGAGGTTATACATAGGTGAGATTATGCAAGTTCCTTGCCCCTGGATATCCCCCAAAGTTAACTTGGGCTGGTCCCATGTACAGTTGTCAGCATTTGTGGTCTGGGAAATGTACTCGGAGAGGCCTAGCCCTATATAATAAGGTGGCCCCTAATTTAGGCATAACTAGCAGTCAGCCCCTATGTCATTCCTATGGCCTAATTAAGGTCTAGCTGATTAATGACATTAATCTGAATAGGGTTAGATTTTCCTATAAAGAAACTCTTGGGCTCAGTTAACCTTCTAAAATCTATATGAGGGTGCCTGCTTCTTATATAGCCCTTAGTAGTAAATATGGTTTCACAACCCTGAGGTGAACAAAAGTATTCAATTGCATTCAAGCAACTTGTGGTGACTGTACCGCTCCCTTGTACATAGACTCCTACCCCCTGTTGTCCCCATTCCCCTGTAGATGTTTCATAACCCCAGGGAAAGGGCCCTTCTATATGACATCAATCTTCAGTAATACCATCTGTGCCTATGGTGCCTCTCATGAGGTCACATAGGTCAAGACTGAAAACAGGTTTTTCTATCCCTTTGTGGTGACACTTCTTAAGACCACCCCCAATATTCCATTCTTAAGTTCCCAGTTCTATTGGGGACCAGATCTATAAGGATTCTACTGTACAGTCATAATCAGAAAAATTAGAGTCCCGATAAATGTAAGAGTCTCATTTCTAAGGGATCTGGAGAGGCCTGTACCGTCTATTCTGCTTTTTCCACCTTCGGTCGGGAATGGTGCAGGCAGACTGGGATGCCGTTGACCTTGACTGCATTGGTGCAGGCAGGGTGATAGTGCATGGTCCCTCTCAGGCCGGATTCAGTCCCTGGGTGGTGAACTTCCTTACCAACACTGAGTCCCCAGGCTGGAAAGGGTGCACTGGGTCCAAAGTGGGCACAGGCAGGGCATTGCAAATGTGTTTATGGACAGCCTTCTGGGTGGACTGCAGGGCCTTAAGAACTGTAACAGGGCGAGGGGGAGCAGAGTGGTCAAGTTTTCACTGGTTTCTAAAGGACATTTGGTTCAGGTTTCCTTTATTATTACTTTTTAAATGTTTTAGAATTTTTAAAATTAATTATTTATTTTTGTTACAGATGTTTCTCCTTTCCTCCCCACTGATTCCCCACTCTTCCTTTCTCCCCACCCTGTCCCCAGCTAAGTTGTCCAGGTCCATTGTTCATGCATACATACATTTAAGTTCTGTGGTTTATCTTCCACCAGCCCCTCATCTGGGGATTGTCAGTCTGTACCTCACTTTCACATCTCTGGGACTACCTTATTCCTCACACTGTTATGTTCATTATATCCCACAAATAAGTGAAATCATATGATACTTGTCTTTCTCTGTTTAGCTTAGGATAATACTTTCCAGGTCCCTCCATGTCGTCTCAAAGGATAAGAGATCTTTCTTTCTTACAGCTGCATAGTACTCCATTGTGTATATGTACCACAGATTTTATATCCATTTGTCTACTGATGGACACTTGAGCTGTTTCCAGAACTTAGCTATTGCAAATAGTGCTTCTATAAACATAAGGGTACATATATTCTATCTAATTGGTGTTTCAGGCTTCTTAGGGTATATTCGTAGAAGTGGGATCACTGGGTCAAATGGCAGTTCAATTTTTAATTTTTTGAGGTAACAGCTTGGTGTTTTCCATAGTGGCTGCACCAATCAGCATTCCCACCAACAGTGTACTAGAGTCCCCTTTTCTCCACAACCTTAACAACACCTATTATTTGATGATTTGTTGATGGAGGCCATTCTGACAGGTGTAAAGTGATACCTCATTGTGTTTTAATTTGCATCTCTCTGATGATTAGTGATGTTGAACATCTCTTCATATGTCTTTGGCCAATTGTATGTCCTGTTTGGAGAGATGTCTATTCAGCCCCTCTGCCCATATTTTAATTGGGTTCTTTGTCTTCCTTTCGTTGAGGTGTATGAGTACTTTATATATTTTGAAAATTAACCCCTTATCTGATATATCATTGGCAATGATGCACTCCCATACAGTGGGTTGCCTTTCCATTTTGATGGTGTTTTCTTTGCTGTGCAGAAGCTTTTGAGTTTGATGTAGTCCCATGTGTTCATTTTCTCCTTTGTTTCTGTTGCCTTAGGTGATGTATCAGTGGAAATTCTGCTGCGTATGATGTCTAAAATTTTGTTGCCTTCAGTTTCTTCAAGAATTTTTATGGACTCATGAGTCACATTTAAGTCTTTTATCCATTTTGAGTTTATTCTTGTGTATGGTGTAAGTTTATGGTCTAGTTTTATTTTTTGCATGTAGCTGTCCAATTTTCCCAACACCATTTATTAAAGAGGCTGTTCTTACTCCACTGTATGCTCTTGCCTCCTTTGTCAAATATTAATTGAGCGTAATGTCTTGGGTCCATTTCTGGGTTTTCAGTTCTGTTCCACTTGTCTATATGCCTGTTCTTGTGCCAGTACCAAGGTCTTTTGATTACAGTAGCTATGTAGTATAACCTGATATCTAGTATTGTGATCCCACCTACTTTGTCCTTCTATTTCAAGATTTTCGTGGCTATTTGTGGTGTTTTTTTTTTGGTTCCATATGAACTTTTGAAGTATTTGTTCAAGTTCTGTGAAATATGTTGTTGGTATTTTTATGGAGATTGCATTGAATCTACAGATTGCTTTGGGTAATATGGACATTTTAATGATGTTAAATCTTCCAATTCATGAACAAGGTATGTGCTTCCACTTTTTTATATCTTCCTCTATTTCTTTTTCTAATGTCCTGTAGTTTTCTGCAAATAGCTCTTTGGTTAAGTTTATTCATAAGTATCTTAATTTTTTCCCATGATGGTAAATGGGATTGTTTTTTCAGTTTCTCTTTCTGTGAGTTCATCATTGGTGTATAAGAATGCCATTGATTTCTTGCAGTTAATTTTGTATACTGCTACTTTGCCAAATTTATTTATTAAGTCTAGTAAATTTTTGATAGAGTCTTTGGGGTTTTCTTTGTATAGTATGATGTCATCTGCGAATAATGACAGTTTCACTTCCTCCTTTTCCATTTGGATCCCTTATATTTTTATTTCATGTTTGATTGCTGTGGCTAAGACTTCTAGTACTATGTTAAATAAGAGTGGTGAAAGTGGGCACTCCTGTCTTGTTTCTGTTCTGAAGGGAAATGCTTTTAGTTTCTGCCCATTGAGTTTGATGTTTGCTGTAGGTCTTTCATATATGGCCTTTATTATTTCAAGATATGATTCCTCTATTCCCAGATTGCTGAGTGTTTTTATCAGAAATGGATGCTGGATTTTGTCAAATGAGTTTTCAGAATCTATTGATATGATTTTGAGGTTTTTATTCTTCATATTGTTTATGTGGTGTATCACACTTATTGATTTGCTAATATTGTACCAGCTTTGCATCCCTGGGATGAATCCCACTTGTTCATGGTGAATAATTTTTTAATGTATTGTTAGATCCGAGTTGCTAGTATTTTGTTCAGGATTTTGGGGTCTATGTTCATTAGATATATTGGACTATAGTTTTCTTTCTTTGTAGGGTCTTTTTCTGCTTTAGGAATTAGAATTATGCTGTCCTCATAAAACAAGTTTGTAAGTCTTCCTTCTTCTTGAATGTTCTGAAAGAGTTTGAGGAGAAAGGGTGTTAATTCTTTCTTAAATGTTCAGTAAAACTCCTCCATGAAGCCATCTGGGCCTGGGCTTTTGTTTGCTGAGAGAGTCTTGATTACATCTTCAATTTCCTCGATTGTTATTGGTCTGTTCAAGTTTTCTATCTCTTCCCAGTTCAATTTTGGGAGACTATGTGTTTCTAGAAATTTGTCCATTTCACTTAGATTGTCAAATTTGTTGCCATATAATTTTTCCTAGTAGTTGTTAACAATCTTTTGTATTTCTGT